GTCGTAGCTGCCGGCGAAGTGACCTCCGAGGGCCTGACGACGTGATCTAAGCCGGCCAGCGCAGGCGCGTCGCCACGTTCGAGGTCCTCACATTTTCTCCTGTGAGTGTGTTGACGCCAGTCGGTAAGTACAGTCTTTCTAATTCGCAATCACAAGCTATTTCGGCCTTTTTGTGCGCTCTGTTCGGTTAGATCTAGCAAAATGGCGGAGGGTAGGAGAGGTTGGTAAGACAGCTACGTTCGTAAAGCATGATGTTTTGAAGGCCTTTAATGGTGAGGGGGATGTTGTCGCTTGGCTCCAGAAGGCAGAGTTGGTTGCGAAACTTACGAATATAACAGATGTGGCAAGTTTTGTTCCACTGTATTTGGAGGGTGGGGCCTTGGTCGTTTACATGGAGATGGATAGTAGAGAACAGCAGGATTTTGATATGATAAAGAAGCGGTTGAAGGAGGCTTTCACAGACAATGAGTTTATGGCATATTGTAAGCTGCGCGAATCGCGATGGACAGGGGAACCAGTGGATGTATTCGCAAATGAACTGAGGAGGCTGGGAAGGACATGTGGGCTGGAGGGGGTCGTTCAGTTGGCTTTCGTGACAGGGTTTCCTGGGAGCGTGTCAGTGAAACTTCAGCAGATAGTGGGGGTTCAAACAACGATTAGTATGTCTGAGCTGGTTGGGAGAGCAAGGATACTCACGGTCAACAAGGGCGGAGTGGGCATGGCTGCACCTGCCTTGTCAGTGGGAAAGGACTCAGGTGGGGGGAAGAAGTATGGGAAAGGGTGTTATGGGTGCGGAGGGCCCCATTTGTTACGGGACTGCTCGAGTGACAGAAGGAAGCCAGTTATCTGCTACCGTTGTGGGGGGTGAAGGGAACATAGCTGCTCATTGTACTTATGAATTGAAGGGGAAACCTAAAAGTGGGCGGGGGATGGGTGGTGGAGGTGCCCCCGGAGGTGCAAGCGGGATAAGCGCCGGTGCGGCAGAGGAAGTCGTAGGTGTGCCCGTAACCAGTGTAACCGTCGGAGGACAACTGCGACGTGCTCTTGTGGACACCGGATGTTCGAACACGATGATCAGGGTAGGGCTGGTAGGCGCTTGGGAGGGTGAAGTTCGCACCAAAGCATTTGATGGGAGAATTGTGAAAGGTAAGGGTACCACTGAAGTTGAGATAGTAGTAGATGGGAAGAGCGTGACGGCAAAATCAACGGTGGTAGATAGACTGGTGGGTGATGTCGACTTGGTTATTGGGATGGATGTGATTCGGAAGCTGGGGGGGTGACAGTGGGACGGTCAAACGTACAGTTCGG